CGGGAGGCTCATTGCCCGCCTCTGCGTGGGCACAGAGGTGAGCAGGAAGGATCTGCTGCGGAAATGCTGATAATGGGATGCCGGGGCCTGTCTTATTCCTTCTCAGTCCAGGAAAGGATGGGCCCAGAGAGCAGGGGCTGGAGTCTCGGTGCCGTGGGTGCCAAGCCCCACTCTGCCCTCTACCTCTCTCTTCCTGCAGGGGTTGTGCCCACGCAGCCTCTGAGACTCCAGAGCAGCAGCGTCTGGTGCCCCTCACAGGGGCCTGGCTTCAGAAGACTGGCTGGCCTTGGGACCAGCAGTTAGCGTAATGGCTATGTCGCTGGACTCCCGTGTAGTGGACTGCTGTTGGAGTCGCGGACTCAGTGGCTTAAATTCACACCAGGTGTGTGTGCGTGCGTGCCCAAGATCCCGAGAGGAGAATGGAGGAGAAGGGATTGCCGTGTGGCCATCCCCCCTGGGGGGTGATTTCTCGCTTTCTGTCTCTCTGTCTCTCTCTGGCAAGCGCATGCACTCTATAGCAAAAACCTGTGGTCAGAGCATGTCCCTGTTGCAGCTCATCAGTGACAGGGTAGGAGATCTGGAGGGAGCTGACCTCAGAGTCCTGAGCTCACCCTTGCTGGGAGGGTGGTGGCCTTGAGGCCTGGGACACACTTGATTTCTGACCTGAGGTGGGGGCAGCTGGAGCCACAGGCCACCCATGGGCGCCCAGGCTGGTGCTGACACCTGTTCCTGGGGGTGGAGGGGAGCCTGCTGGGTCACTGTGACCACACCCCTCCTGTAGGAATTCCCTCCCCCCTCCCCGCCCCTCACCTGCAGAACTGGCGAGAGTGATTCATGTTGGGGCCCGCCTTGATGTTCCCCTTTTCAGGGTCGTAGATGGTGGTGGCTCTGGCGTACGCCCCGCCCAGGATGAAGACGAATCCGTTGAGGGTGACGGCGGGGGCGGGCTTGTTGTCTGTGAGGAGAGTGGAGCAGGAGGTGAGGGCCCCTGCCTTGGCCTCCCTTCCTTTTTCCTCCCCAGCAGCCCTCCCAGAAAGTCACCCACTGGCCTGAGGACAAAGCCTGGACTAGCCCGGCCTCCGCAAAGTGGTAGAACTGGCAGCTGTACCAGGGCTCGGGGTCACAGAACTGGTTTGTGGGACTTGGAGACTGGCCGAGCTGGTGAGGCGGAGGTGCTCCCCCGACCGGGCGGATGGGGCTGTGCTCACCGATCATGGGGGACTCGATGAAGCTCCACGTGTTGGTCTGCGGGACGTAGGACTGGAGGACACCCGCGGCCCGGCCCGCCTCGTTCACGCCCCCGAACACGTAGATCTTGCCTCCGCACACCGTGGCGGCTGCCGAGTGCACTGCCTTGGGCAGAGGGGCCACTGCCTCCCACTGGTTGGTGATGGTGTCATACCTGCAGGGAGAAGAGAAGAGGCCCACAAAGGTGTGCTGCGTGGGGCGCCCCAGCCAAAGGGGCAGACGTGGGGTGCACCACCACCAGCTTCCTGCCCGCGGGATCACTGTCATCCCCTAATACTACACAGCTGGGGGCCTTGGGATGGTCGTGCCAGCCTTCCAGCCCTCCCAGTCCTCCTCCGCAGGGCTCCCTCCTGGCTGCCGCGACCTCAACCAGTTCCTGTCTGCTCACAGCACGCTCCTCTCTTCTGACTGCCTGGGTCTTCTCTGTCCAGCTCACTGAGCACCTGCAGCATCCCAGGCCCTGGGCTGGAAACTGAGGGAACCAGTGAATCACACACAGTCCCTGCCCTTGAGGAGCTCTCCTCTGGTAGGAAGACAAATAGAACACGCATACGCCAAGTGGAGAACGTGTGTAGCAGTGATGGGAACCCAAGGGCACACAGCAGGCCACCTTGCCTGCTGTCGGTCAGGTCAGGCTTCCGGAGGAGCCGGTGCCAGCCTGGACCGTGCCGGTGGAATAAGCAGCCAGCTGGGTGAATGGGAGGAGAGCCACTGCAGGGGAGGGAGCGTGTGGGTGCAGGTGGACGGGGAGGATATCTGGTGGCCTGAAATGGTGGGCGGTAGGGATGCCTTGGCTAGACGGGCTGTGCACGCCAGCAAGGGACGCGGGCTTTACCCGTGGGAGAGTGGGTGAGCCTGAAGGTTGTATTTATTTTTTATTTTTGGGGGGGAGATTTTTTGCTATAGGTTGTGCACACTTGCCAGACAGAGAAACAGCAAGAGATTATCCCCCAGAAGGCATGGCCACGCCACAACCTCTTCTCTATTCTCTTCTCGGGGTTTTGGGCATGCATGCACATGTGCCTGGCTTGAGTTTCAAGTTGCTGGGTCTGGGACTTGAACCAAGGTCAGCCAGGTGGGAATCCAGCAACATAACCATTATGCCATCTGCTGGTCCCAGAGCCTGTAGGTTTTAAGGAGGAAACTCCCATGATCAAATTCGGACTCAGATCACTGTGCCCGCGGGGTGGAGAGTGTGCTCCAGTGAGAGACGGGAAGCAGGGCGACAGTCAGACCGGCCTGGCGCAGGAAGCCTGGTGAGATCCGTGGCGGCCAGGCCCCCGAGATGCAAGGGTATGAGGGAACGGGAACAGGGGAGAGGCGGATGGACAGGGTCTGCTCATTAATGGGGCGTCGGGGTTAAGGGAGACAGAGCTGTCTCAGATGACTTGGGGTCTCTGTCTTGAGAGACTGGCTGGAGAGGACAGGGTTGGGGATGCCACAAGGAGCCGAGTGGGGGAGGAGGCCATGTCGGTTCTGTTCAGAGGGACCGTAAAGTACGTGTGGGCCACGTTTCAGGGATGTCGGGTTTACGGACCTGGATTATTTAGCTTTGGGGTTGTGGGCCCACAGACGGAAACTTGCGCCTGCGTGTGCGGTGGGGCACGCGTGGGGAGCACCAGGCTGGGAGCACGCTGGCCGCGCCGGCTGAGGGGGGCACTGAGGGTGCACGTTTCAGAGCCAGGTCGCCAGAGGGAAGTCCGGTTTGTAGCACGAGCTGATTACTGGGCTGTAGACCCGTTCTGCCCGCCTGTCACTGAACACAGCTGGGAGAGGACGTGGCGTAGCCACCGCGATCTGGAATCACCCCCGTGCCCAGGCTCACTGGCACGTCTAAGCTCAGGGGCCGACGCTGTAGCAGAAATACTGGAAAACTAGGAGGCGAGCGTCCGGCCCGGGTTACTCTGGTTTTAGTGCACACGCACGCGCTGCTGCGTGTGTACTGAGATGCAGCCCCAGGCGAACTCTTCGTTGGGCAAACACCGTCCAGAACACTTCCACAGACCAGGTGGGAGAGCCCGCCACACACCCAGGCTACTGGCATGGCCTACTTTACCGCGTGGACCCCTGTCGTGTTTGTCGGCCCGTCAGTGACTGCAATGTCCTCATGCTGCCCATGACCGCTTTTTTTGGGGGGGAGAGGTTTTTGCTATAGGGCGCGTGCGCTCGCCAGACAGAGAGAGACAGAGAGACAGAATGCGAGAAATCACTCCCCAGGGGAGATGGCCACGCCACAATCCCTTCTCCTCCATTTTCCTCTCAGGATCTTGGGTGGGCACGCATGCACCTGCGCCCGGCGTGAGTTTAAGTCACCAGGTCCGGTACTCGAACCACGGTTGACTACATGGGAGTCCAGCAACACAGTCATTACGCTATCTCTTGGTGCCTGTATGACTTAATGTTTAATAACAGCTATGGCAAACTGGCCTGCAGACTTTCTGACATTCTAGCAACAGGCCCTCATGAGCTAGTGTGAGCCAGCTCTAGCACACTGTGGGTTTTGCTTTAATTTCAGGACGGGGGAGATTTAACTGTTCACATACTGATAGGAAGGCCCCCAGAGAAGGAAAGATTCAATACACATGATGGAGAGGGGACGGCTGATGACGTCAGGTGCAAACTGAATCCAGAGTGGAGAGGGGCGATGGTATCCACTGCGGAGGAGAGAGGGAGGCAGGGGTGGCTCAGTGCTGGTGCACATGCAGGAGTGATGGCAGGAGGGCAGGAGGATGGACCAGCTCTGGGCTGGCGACTCCACTGTCTCCATGAGGCAGGAGCCGGAGTTAGAGAACACCGGGGCTCTGTGGGTCGGAGCTCCAGGAGAGAGGTGGAAAAACTGCCAAGGGAACTCCACAAAGGCCGCCTTGCACATGAAGGCCCTGAAGGCCCCGTGGTGGGGCCAACCTGCAAGGTGGTGGGAGTTCTTGCCCTGGATTCAGCCCCCAGGGGCCGGCATGGAGGAGGCAGAGTCAGGCGCACGGAACTGCCAGCTCTGAGTGCAGGGTGAGAAGCAGGACAAGAGAGGAGAGGGGGAAGAAAGAGCAGCAGGA